CAGACTTTATTGGCTGCACTTTTCAAATGGGGGGAATAATAAGTACTTGCAACTTAATCAGCCGTGTAGCTGCAGAGAGGTTTTTTTTTTTTTTCCTGAGTACTTTTATGTCCCATAATGAGCTAGTATTTTATAACTTCTGATGGTAATGTATTCCATATGCCTTCCATTGCTGGGATAAAGAGCTTTACTCCAGAATCCAAAGCAAGTGGCTTTGGATATTTATTTAATAAGGTTTGAAGTCTTTGCACTAGGCAGGATGTCAGTATGTTGCATACCCAGAGCTTCCTCGGGCTGTTTGTGGTGAGGTCTTAGTTCTTTAACATCAAGGAAAGATCGCTGGTGTCTCATCTGTGCTTCCCATGAAGTAGGGTAGGGTTCGTGTTTCCAACAGCAGTCCCACCATTTCAATCAAATTCCCTGCTTTTCTCTGTCGTTGTTCTAAATACCATTACTTTCCCTCCGGGACTTGGGACAGGCTAAAACTGAGAGGAATTCAACCATGAATGTCAAGATAGCCAAGTGAGAGATCTGCTCATAATTCCTTGAGGCATCTTCTCTAATGCCTCACACAGAACAACAGTTCTGTTGTGGGGGTGCTTAGGAGTTGCTGTAGTCTTGGAGTCCTGACAGGAGAGAAAAATAATCTCGTTAGGGTTTTTTGCTAAAATACTCAAACTACTCTGGTTGAGCTTAGCATTTGAAAAACATTTTCTGCTATGCAGCTCTTGTAGATGTTCTGGCATATTTGCCTCTGCTCTGATTGAGGCAACAATAATTATCTTATAAGTTTTTTGGCAGGATTCAGATTTGTATTTCAAGTCACAAAGGATCATCGTTACCATTTTATCTGCACGACTGTCGGCTTCAGTATAATATCACAGGCCCCTGTGCAGACTCATTGGCTTCCTTTGGGTATAGGCATAACCGAAGGAAAATCTGAATATGAATCTTGTGCTGTCTTCTGAATCTCGAAGGGGATGAGGAAGGTAATTTCAGAACTGCTGATGCTTTTACTGGAAATGGTGCTTTCAGTGGCACTGGGAGGTTACCTCAGAACCAACTGACTTTTGGTGGTGATGCTATGGATGTGCCATAATTTGTGGTTTTTGATCCTTAGCCTAAAAAGCCTTCTGGTGAAGTCCAAATTGCCCCATCCCTCCTGTGAACTTGGAAGAAAAGGTCATTTGCCTTCTCTTTTTATTATTTTCCAGGCCATAGAAAAGGCAGGTGCACTTCCGAGCCCTTTCCTTGCCCTGCGCTCCCCCGCGTGTCAGGGCTGTGCCGTGGGGCGGCGTGAGACTCTGCTACCTGCTGCTTTCCTCCCTGCAGTGAGGAGCAGCCACTGCTGCCATCGCTTCACACTGTTTCCAAGCCCCATCCTGCTTCTGTTGTGGCAGAGCTCGCTGTCATTTAAACTTTTCCTGCTTTTATGCTCTCCTGGCAGCAGATACCTGAGCTCTTTAAAGCTGCAGTCTGTCCAGACTTATGTTTTAGTAGGCAGGACTGCTTCTAGTCAAACAGCTTTTGCTCACAGTTACCTGCAAAACTTCTGTGGATTTAGGGATCTGGTTCCATGACTAGTTGGTATGTCTTTGAATAACCTCTGCTTAAAATCAAAACAAGCCAGCTTTTGACCTTCTTCTCCCCACCCCTCCTTGCATGATAATAGAACACTGTGCTAGTATGAAATCTCAATGATTACAACCCTTTTAGCAGGAAGAAAACTGAATATATGAGCAGGGTGAGTCCCGGGCAACAACATGTGATCCAATATTAAACAGAGATTTTTCAGGTTGTAGAATCATAGAATCATGGAAGAGCCCAGGTTGGAAGGGACCCTGAAAGAGCATCTGTTCCAACCAGATGGTTGGTTATGTAGTGAAGTAGATGAGAATAGGAAGAGAGAAACCATTTGCTTTAATGAAATAGGCCCAGTATTTTATTTCTGTGTGTTCTCATCAGGAACCTTCTGGCTTTCAGATAGCAGGGGATAGTACTTGCTGGGAAAAAAGCACCTTAAATCCTTAGAGCTTGAAGGGGCTATTGGTTTTTTTATTGTTTTGTTTTGGTTTTGGTTTTGTTTTTTTTGTTTTTTGGGGGGTTTTTTTTGTATTTGTAGGAATAACTGAAGATTCTTACCCTGGTAATTTCCCATCAAATCTTGAAGTTGGAGAGAAAGTACGGTTCATACCTAGCATGAATTCTTCTAGTGGTACCTCTGTTCTGGCTTTTCTAGTAAATGTTTACTGATTATACTCTTTGTTACTGTGACTTACAACCTCTATGAATTTGTATGAAATTTGAAGAACTGCCTTTTAGAGACTTCTGAGTAGTTTTACAGGTTCAGGTCTGTCTAACTTCATGTAGCTAGTCCAAGAGAGTCTGATCCTAGGAAGCAGGTTTCTTAGGCTTTTGATTCCATGCTCCCCCCCCCACTAAAAAAAAAACCCAAACCAAACGCAAACCTTTTCTGAAGACTAATTTTTCAGCACCCTTTGTGAAACATGGGCACCCAATGTGGTAGTGGTTTTACCACTAGAGTAGGCAGGGTAATGTTATTTTTCTACAGTTCCTGAATACTGTTGTGTTTCCTGCCAAGCCTCTTGGCTGCAGCACTGTAGCAGGAGCTCGTCCTCTTTGTTATCCACCATAATCCTGAAGAACATCCTGAGGTTTGGTGTTTTCCAAGACACAAGTCTGCCCATATTAAGTGTGAATTATGCCCTTTGTTCCTGAATGGGTAAAGTTGCATTCAACTATATTAAAATGCATGCTGCTAAATGAGCTTGGCTTCCCAAGGGATTGAGGTTATGCTTTGTAATCCTGAGGGGTTCAATCAGCAGTGGCTTGTGCTTTTCCAGTGAAGTTAGAGAGCATACAGCCAGAAACAGGCCCCAGAAGATGACGGTAAAATGCCATTTTTGAGGTGAAACTGCTCACACTCCTGATAACTATTAATACTATTAATATTTACAGGCACTTTTTACTCCATTACAGAGATTTTATTGTTTCCGTGTGTGGTTAATTCTTTAATCAGTGCTTTGTGGCATGGAGTCCATCATTCTGCACAAGCTAGGTAAATTATCAGTTACTTTAGCAACCACATTTTTTATATTTTCAAAATGTAAGGTTTGATTCAGCTTTTGTTTTTAATTAAGGCCGAGCTGCTCTATTTTACTTGCTTGTATTCCCTGTCAGTCTTCCTGTAGCTTTGTGCAGAATGAATGTCCCCTATTCCCCTCTGTTCTGTTGGGCAAAGCGTTTATCCACAGCTTCTGTTGTTGAATTTGAATTTGCTTGGCAGTGAAATTACTGTTTTCTTGGGGCACCTATTTTTGTATTAGATACTGATACCCTCTGGGGATTAAAGTTTCAGTCTTTTAGCTGCAGGCAACAGTGATGTTCCTGCAGATCCAAACTGGCAGATATCAGTAGTGTAAATGCTAGTGTTTATTAGAGCAGAGCAAAGCTGGAGGGTAACTATGCCAAGTCTTGGCTCATTAAACCAGCAGGAAGATTCAAGAAGGCTGCTTTTAAAGATAAGGGCAAGAATTGGCACAAGGTAGGCGGGGGTGAGAGAACGGCAGTGGGTAGGCCATGTGATAGGTGTCTTCTATCTCCCCACAGATAATTTGAAGGCAGGAGCAGCCTCATTGAGACAAATGAGCTGTCATACAAGCAGGAGTAATAGCAAATTGGAGTGATAGTGTACAGCACTTGTCACTGCCACAGGTTAATTGGCATTGGTCTGAAATGTTGGGCTTAGAAGACAGGAATCAACTCTCTGCTTTTTCTGGAGTCCTAACTAGTTTTAATTCCTTGATATTTAAGAATTTTGCTAAAGATTAGTGTAGGAAAATTAGTGACTTATCTTTTATCATAATGGGAAAGCTACTTGGGATTAACGTAGCCTTTGGTTCATTTATCCAGGGGAGCTCTCTTCCAAAGTTTCACCAACACTGATATTCTTCCAGAAGTTTCAACTGCTTTAATTTGAATGTGATTACCTGTTGTCTCTGTGCGGAAGACTTAGTATATTTGGATGACTCAGATCTGGGCTGGGATGCTTAAGGTTTGATAAGGTAACTTGATGTGGATAAATACTTCAGATTAGAATGAGCAAATTGTGCTTCTTCCCATTTATCTCCTAAAAAAACCCATGGTCCTGTAAGAGCAGAGACAAGAGATGCTTGTCTTTGTATTGCTGTTGTTAATAATGGCTTATATAGAGGAGAATCTTATTAATAGATTAGAGTAGTAGAATCTGAGCCATTTAAAGTCATTTAACAGATTTGGTGTAATTGGTAGTCTTGCTAATTATCAGAAGTAATATGAATAACGAATTCATTGCAATACAGACAAAAGAACTTGACTCTTTCCAAAGCTCTACTCAGACTGAAGCAGGGTCTTTGGGGGGTTTCATCTGGGTTGCATCTGTTTGCACTGTGGCCGAGTGCACTACCTCTGCTGCAGGGTTTGGACTGAACAGGGTGGGCTGGAAAGAGTAGGAACTGTATTCTTTTCGAAACTACTGAAGCTATTCAAACCATGACCTTAAGGATGCCCAGACGAGACGTGGAAGTGCAAAGGTGCGGGTCAGCATGCAGTACATCACCCACTTCTGCAGTTACCAGACAGTCAATGTGAACTCAACTGTAACCAATTAATTACTGTTGAGGTTGAACATGTGGTTTCTAGGTCCCATAGAGAAGACTAGCACCGTTAACTATTCACCATGTGACTATTGAAGGTTATTTAACGTACTGCAAGGCTGTGGTCTGCTCTCAGTGATACCAACCTGTCATTTACTTCTACCTATGAAAGAAGCCTGTACTGAAGCTGATACTAAATTACCTCCTTGCATGGATTTGAAGCTGTCTCATTAGTTGTGCTGTGGTCTGTAACTTGAAAACTTGCTGATAGTGTCTAAGGATGGCGTGAGTGAAGGAGGCAAAGATTTTTTTGTGATTAGGTGGATGCTTTTGTTTCTATTTCAGGAAAGCCCCACAGCACTGGCGGCTCCGAACGGATTCAGCTCTCAGGAATGTACAATGTTCGAAAAGGGAAAATACATTTGCCAGTCAACAGATGGACAAGACGCCAAGCTATCCTTTGTGGAACATGCCTAATTGTCTCATCAGTAAAAGAAAGCCAGACTGGAAAGATGCATGTCCTCCCTTTAATTGGTGGAAAAGTAAGATATTTTGTTTTATATATTTGCTTGCTTAACCCCTATCTTTTCACACGGAGAAGATTGCATTCAATTATAACGATCCCTAGCCCCCCAAAAGCTTGTTTCTTTAAATGGGGTTATCAGAGAATATAAATGACCTTTGATTATGGTTGGATTCGTATTTAACAGTGTGCAGCGTTTGGATTAAAACGCTAAAGAAAAGCAAGGGAAACACATTCAGTTTTCTTTTCTCATGTGCAGTGTTAAGTGTAGTACACAGCCAAAGGATGCACACACCTGTATTGTGTATGATCTACCGTGCCTCCTCATCCAGTTTTTATCCATACTGGATTATTCCAAGATCTGAAAATTAACCAATAAGGGCTTATTTCAACATTGGAGATTTTTTGAGTGTTCAGCATTTTATGAGTAGCAGTCTAACGTAAGCTAATGGCATCAAATATTTTTATTTATGAAAAGCTGAAACTGGACTTTTTTCTGATTGACTGCATCTGAAACACAGGAAGTCCAGTCTGAACACAAGAATTTTTATTTATTTCCCCACCGCCCCGCCGCTGTGAGAGTGACTGAGCACTGGCACAGTTTGTCCAGAGCAGTTGTGGAACCTCCCTCCTTGGAGATATTCAAAAGCCGTTTGGACACAGTCAGTCCTGGTTAAACAGCTGTGAGTGGCTCTGCTTGAGTAGGGGGTTGAACCAGATGACCTCCAGAAGTTCCTGCCCACCTCAACCATTCTGTGACTCTGTGAACCTTTAGTGAAGACAGTAAGGTAACAACATTACTGTTTTAGCCTAAGTAGTGTTTCAGAACACTATTATTGGCTTGATTAGCCAAGATAATGGGAAGAGAATCATTAGCTTGAGGATGATTTGCAGCTGAAATAATGCTCTTTTACTTTTGCATGCTGATAAGTTCAGTTCTGAAGTCATTGGGAGAGAAATAAGCTTCACGATGTTATATATGCAGACTAAAGTTGATTCATTAATATTCTATACTAGCAATGTGGAAAGCAGTCTCCTCTTCTAGGAGCTGTTTTTCCTATCTCCTTTCATGATTCTTCACATGATTCTTCAACACTTCCCGGGAGGTACTGAAGTAGAGATGTTTTCCTCTTTTAGCAGCAGTGGGTGAACTCTTGACAGTGAATTGTATTCCTGGCTGTAGCACCATGGAGAGGACAGGATCTGAGTCCCTATTGGCCTTGTTTTTGAGATGAAAAAGATTTTTTTTTTAATTCAAAAAGGGAAGAGATTGTGTACCTCTTTTTTAATTGCTTAACATTGCTGGAATCTCTAAAGGGGTTTTTTGCACAGCAATGCCTTGTGTAATGTAAAACATGCAGGCTGTGTTAAGCAGTAAGTTGACAACAAATTCTAAAAGAAAAGGAAAGCCAAGCTGAGAAAAATGTACTGAGGGCTTCTGCTGACAAAGCCTGGGAGGAGGATGCTTGGCACAGAACTGAGTGGGTTTTTTTAAAATTCTTGCTCAAAAAATATTCTTCCTCAACTCCATAAATATTCTGCACTTCCTGGTTTTCAAAGGCTTTCCAGAATGCGATGCTGAGACATTGAGACCATAAGTTGTGTGGGACTTCTCATGTATGATAGCAGAATGATGTATTCTGGGTGTTTTTTAGCAAGTTGAGAAATGCCAAAGAATTTAATTGGGCTGTAGGAGAAGCATTTTGTTAAGCCTGTTTTTAATAACCAGGAGTATAAATTGTACTCCATTAGGTTGTATAAAGTCAGCCTTAAGTATGTTTCACTGGGAAACCTTTTATGGTGCTGAGTGTCTCATAAAATGTTGACGTTCTTGGTGTTTTTCTCCTTTGGTTCCTTCTTCCTTCTGTTGTCATTCCTTGCTTGTGTAGATCTCAGGAGTGTTTGACAGCTGACATCTGAGTGCTTGAGAGGGTTAGTCCAATTCTACTTGACGAGCTCCTCTTGGGCACACTTTAACTTTGCCCTGGGGAGTTCTGCAAAGAGGCTTTTGATTCTTATTCACTAACACTTTTGTTTTTCTACTGTAGGTAGAAGAAGTGAAAAAGCACCAGCACTGTTTAGCATTTAGCTCCTCTGGACCTCAAAGCCAGACCTACTACATTTGTTTTGATAACTTCACTGAATATTTGCGATGGCTTCGACAAGCTTCAAAGGTGAGAAGAGTGCTAATTCCTGCCTGAATGGGATGCTTGTGGCGTTTCCCCCAGTTTTGTCTTCTCCATGCAGCCATATAGTCTGTCCTCTGGGTTCGTTATCGTGAACTGTTGCTGCTGTTAGTGGTGCGCAAAAACCCCTCAATTTGGGAGTTCTCAATAACAGGCAATAGGGAGGTCAATTTTTCTGCTTTTATACTGAGACTTCTTTCTACCATGGTTGTGTAAGCAAAGTGCTGTGCTGGACTTTCTCCCTTTTCTTGTCTTGATCCAGCTGGATGGATGGAGTGAGATCATTGGAACATTAAAGATGACAAATATAAATGTAAAAATTTCAACTTAAATGCTTTGTTTCAGTGTTAATAAAATCTAAACTAGTGATGGATTTTTAAAATTCATTCCTTCCACGGAGCCTAAAGATTAAATTGCTAGAATTAAGGAATTTTTTTCTTGCTTGGAAATGTTGCTGAATCTCTCTTTAGTTTTATCACTATTTGATTTTTTTTTTTTAATAAGCAATCATTTTATGTCAGTAAAAAAAAATTACTAACTAAAGCTTTTGTAAACCAAATCTTATACTGTGCTTAGAGCACAGTTTATTATGGGAATTTAGGCCTGCATTATTTTGTTTGACTCTTCAGTTCTACTTTATGTTATTGAAAGGCTGTTTTTGCAATTACGTGTTCTATCTCTTAATCCCTGCCACTTTTTTGATAAATCCTCTCTAAACAAATTTATGTATCTTGAGCCACTGATTTTTTTCATTTTTACCACGCAAGTTCTTTTGCTGTGCTGTCAGCAATCTTTCATTGATTTTCTAGTTGGGCCTAAACCACCCGTTAATTTCATACCTGAGAGGGCTGTCTGTTCATGCTCTTTACTATGTTAAAGCAACTTGGTTTTATGTAGTACTGCTTAGAGATATTTATGGCACACTAGATCTGTTCTGTCTTTTTTAGATTGCAATAATGTATAATCCAGCCTATTGCCAGTGGTACAGCCTAGGTTGTGGTTTTTTTTAAGAGATTTGATTATGTTAAACTTTCTTTGAGCAGTAACTATTGCACCTCCCAACACATGCATCATTTAAAATGTCCTTTAGTGTTTTTTTTTTTTCTGTTAAGTTTTAAAATTCTCTTTAAAGACGCTGTTCTGGCATCCCTGCTCAGGTCTGTTAAGCCTCAAGGTAAAAATTCCCAAGGCATGTTTTATGAGACGGTGAGGCATGGTCTGTCAGGTTTTTGAGTTCTTGCCGCTTTGTGGCTCTCTCTGGGAGAGTAGTGCCCTTTCATCTCCAGAGGCTTTGACATCAGATAAATGAAAGGCAGATCTAATGAGTGAGAAAAACAGTGGAAAACAATGAACTTCAGAAGTAGAGATAAATGGTCAGAAAGCCCCTGTGAATTACTGGCAGCATAAGCTTGTTCTGTGCCATGCTGTGCTTCTCTCTTTCTCTCTGGTTCACCCAAATGACTAACAGCATTGGGACGATAGCCAGCATGAGAACATAGCCCCATGCACTCATGATATCCTCCCATTTTTATTGTGTAAGAGTAGAAAGAAAATACATATGCTTGAAGTGTCTTTTCAGACTGTCAGAACTGAAGAAACTTGCTATGCTATTTGTTGGTAAAACATGCTTTGAGGAAAAAATTATGCTTCATTTTCCCCAGCTCTCCACCCCCCAGCCCCAAAAACTGAGATGGTGTTCTGGATTCATGGATTTTTGAAACAGTACTTTGCCGATTCACGTTGATTTTTTTTTTTTAATGTCTGGATTTTCTATCCTTAGGCTGAGAAAGAGAGACAAGCTTGATTGTATGCAAGGCAGTTGAGTGGAAGGTACTGTGCAGTAATACTGTTTCTGAAGGAACAGAAACAGAGAAACTAGTAATGCTGCAAAAGTAACTCAAATTTCCTCCAGCTGATGCTGTTCCTGTCCAAGTGCTTAATTGTAAGGTGCATCATCTCTGATTTACATGCACAAATAAATAACAAGTTTCATCTTCAACTCTGTAGTTCAGGCAAGCTAGTGTTCCCACGCAGGAAAAAAACCCCAACCTTTATAGATGGTACTCTGCCTTGGGTGTTTGGAAGCTACGCAAGTTCAAAGAAGTTGAAATATTCTTGCTAACCAAGTACCAGGTAGAGCATTGTATGTCTAAAGGCAAGCAAACTTAGCCAGGGAGATGTTACGCCTCTCTAACTTTGAGCTTCTAGATGCTTGTTATGTGCTAGGTCACACAATGCTTACAGCTTTGTCTTTAATCCTGGTGGTGTGTATAGTCCTTGTGCTTTTGTGAATTATTGTGAATACTATTTAAGACCGTATTTTAAATATAGTTGTTATTTAGTGGCATTTGTTTTGAAACTGACACTCATGTTGACTTATGTTCAGTGGTAGTTTCTCTGCAGTCCTTCATGCTCCTGATGTGTGCTACTGAAAACTGAGGCTTCTAGTACTTAAAAGTGTAATGAAATCTTGAATTACAAATTCTAATGCAGAAGGAAATCCCTCGTAAAATATTTCATTAAAATTGCTCAATTCAGTTTTTAACTATGAAGAAAATTTTCATGTCTGTCTTATACTTCAAAAGAACTAAAAGATGATGTTATTTTAACTTTTAAATAACAAGCTTAATCTTGAAAGGAGATTTTGCAAAGAATGCTTGCTCTGCAGTCTTTTTCCCCACAGAATATTGGCAATGTTGACTTTTTAGCAGTGTTCCAGAATGAGACAAATCCTAACGCATCACTCCTGCAATAAATACATGTATGCTAGAGAAGATTTGAATTAATGTTTGCAGAGACTTGGGCTCGGTTTTAAAAATGAGCATTGCTCCTGTATAATCTGATTCATTCTAACAGTGAAATCTATCTTAGCCAAGACAGATCTTGTGCTCTGCCCCAGTAAATTTTTGGAAGAGGTTTGTGAATAGGTTGTTTTTCCTGTGTGTTTGAGTGTCCTAAGGTGAACAGAACTCATATTTTCAGGACAAACTGGAATTATTGCACAAATACTGACCTAAATATCAAACTTGGTGACATACTTACTCCAAATAGGTCACTTTTAGATATGCTGATTTAGCCTCAAACAGAATATTTTTAAAAGCTGGAAATGTGGCTTGTTCGTTAATATTGATAGTTCTATACCACAGTGCATTTCTTTCCTTTTACTTTCCAAAGACTGGAGTCCTAATTGAGAAAGTTCAAAAGGCAAAAAACCACAAGTTTGGTCCTTTGTGATCTAATATGTTCATTCTCTTGCCAAATGTTGAAAAATAATCTTATGCAGCTGGGAGGGGGAGCAGAGTGGGGAAGAAAGGGATATCTTCACAGCTTGGAAGAATTTTGTCTGCACAAAGTTGGCGTGATGGTTCTGGAATCTGCACAACTACTTGCAGAATGATTCTGATCTGCCAGTGTTTGCTATTTGAATGTCGGATGCAGAAGGACAGGTGAAAAATGTGCAGTTAACAGTGAAGAGGACACGATGAGGGCTTTCCTCAGTTGCCACAACCAAAACCTAAAAACCTTAGAGTAGCAGAAGAGAAAGAGGTTTTATGTATAAGGTATTACTGAGTGGTGGAACTTGCTGTCTCATGAGGCTTATGTTTGGGGTGTGGTGAGGAGCTCCTGGTGTTTGACACTTCTAACAGATAAATTGATTTTAATGTTTTTCTACATGTGTGATTGCTGTTTCAGTTTTGACTGTTACACAACTCATGATGTGGATGGTTTGGCTGGATTTAAAAGGGTTATCAGTCCTCCATGTTCCAAGGCATACAATTAAAATGGGATGTCAACATCTACCTCAGAAATTCAGTATTGCAGAGCTTAAGCAGGGATGTATTACAGAATTTTATCTTCTTGGAAATAGCATGCATCACTGGGCATGCTGAGACGAGTTGTCTGACCCCACAGAACTTCAATCCTCTTGGCTTTAGAAGAGCGGGAAGTGTGTCGACAGCTTCATTGCGACAATTATTTCCTGCTTTAGTGCTCGGTTCAACTGGGCAGGTAGAGGAAGCGAGACGATGAGAGACAAGGGCTATAAATAATGCAGGACTGCCTCATGTAAGCTGCCTGTGCGTGGCTGCACTATACGTGTAGGTAGGTAGGTAGAGATGTACGGGCACACGGCTGTATGTGCATGTCCATGCCATCCACCGCTTCCCAGGCTGAGTTGCACAACTGTGGCTGCAGTGACAGCGTATTTACCAGAGAGTAAGCAATTGTGTGGGGCTTAGGTGCCAGGGTGGATTTACACCTACACTCAAAAAAACCCCTGCATTTTAAAAATACAAGGAATATCCAAAGAGAGATCCTTGATTTAAAAACTGTCAAGAGTTTTCTCCTGTCTGCCTTTGTATTTTCCCTTCCCTGTTTCAGGCACCTTTGTCTTTAAGTCTGCAGTGGAAATGCGTGTGATGTTCCAGATAACCCTAGCCTGCTGTGAAAAAGGAGAGACTAAATTATGATGTCAGTGTACATTATGTTTAAAAAGTGCTAAAAATAGCAAGAATAGCAAATTCAAGAGAGAAGGGTGTGCTGCCGTACTGGTCTTACTCCTTTCATGTCAGCGCAGAATGCTCTTTTCATATGTTTATTTGGGCAGTGAAACTAGCAGAAAATAACAACAGATTTGAATTTAGTTTATACTGCACAAATAAGTAATGCAGTAAGTAACAAGTAACTACAGCAGTAGTCTCCATATTTTCCTCGACTTGTGTAGAGACCAACCTGAAGCAGCAGTGCAAATTAACTTTTTAGCTTTTTTTCTCTAAGGTTCTCTCTTCTGGTTTTAAAAATACAAGGAATATCCAAAGAGAGAAAGACTAAAGTGCAGATTCCAACTTAAGCGTGGAACACAGACTTTGCAGAGCTTTTGAATATAAAATACAGCCTTCAGCCTCTGAAGAAGGCTTGAAGCCACTAGTCTTATGGTTAAATTAGCCCTACACTGTATTTGCCATGGCTTGCCCACTAGCTGATTGACC